ACAAAATTCCGTCTTTTCTTCCCGTTCTCCTACGTTTTAAAAATTCGATTACATCTATGAAACGAATCCTTTTATAAAGATTGAAAAGGATGAATATTAATGATTAATCATTTCCAGAAGTTTTCCTGTTAAATATTATTTTAAAATTTGTTTCTTTATATTTTTTTTGTGTAACTTAAAATTGTTTTAAGCAAAAGTTCAAATGTTGAATCAAAATTTAATATCAATTGTCAAACGATCAATAAAACTATTTTTAGAATTTACTCACAGGATTTTTTATCTCCCAACGTGTCCACATTTTATTTCATCAGAGAATAAACAGAATAGTTTAGAGAAGAAACAAAACCATTCTCCGGTTAACCACATAAAATACACAAGCATTTTAGAAAATCAAATACCTATGTAGATAGATGTAAAGAAAATGGTAATTTGAGTTTCAGAAACCTTGAACCGACTTTGTGTGCTACTTGAAAATTTTTTAAAGCTTCGAGGTGACTGATGAAGTTACTGTGTTGCTGAAGAACATTGTATTCTGGATTATGTTGTAGAAACGTTTCATAACCCTTTAAATGACAACATTCTCATTTGCTAGCTGTGTCTTTAGGACATAAATTTTCGTCAAAGATTTAATATGACACATGAGCTCGTTGCTTCATCTACACCATTAATGCTATGTCTTCTTTCATTGTCGTCTGGCGCAATTTTTTTTCGTAGATTGAGAATGGTTTGATTAATGACTGGTGACATTAAGAGCCAGAATGCTTTTTTACATTTCCTACGATAAGCATATGAATTAACATCAAATCAACAAGCTTTACGTTCGTTTAATTTCCTTTATTTCTTCATCAAATGATCATTAAAATATTGAATTACATTTAACATTTTATGTTTCTCTTTAATTCATCATTCCAAAAACTTAAAATAATTGATTGACCATTTTCATATTATTTGCATAAATAAACTTCGAATTCGCACGAATTGTTTATTTTCTCATTTCTCTTTTTATAAAACTTCGCAAGGATGTTAGTTACGAAAGTGTTGTTGATATTTACAAATTAGAAAAGAAAAACAAAAATGAAGAAAAAATCATCAACGAAAGCGAGGAAAAAGTTTGTTTTTTTTTCTCCTTTTTTTAAATTTGTTTTCCCTTCACTTTCATGTAAAAATTTCTTTTCTTCGTGTTGCTGCCTTTCCTTCGCATCCCAAACAAATTAGATGCGATTAAATATCCCCGTCGTCAACAAGAAAAAAAATAAATGGAAAACTTCTTCCTTCGTCACAGATTGTAAAGCCGTGGCTTTCTCCTTGAATTATATAAATTATGGGTTAATTTAATTTCTCTTCTGCTTAAATGAGAATTAAGGCTTGGAGACAGTGAAGGGAAAAATGTCAACAACAACTTAGCATTTGAAGATAACATTTAGATAAGCACGTAAGAAATTTCAACTGCAAGTGTTTGTTTTTGAGTTCCTTAAAAGTTAATATTATTATTTCCATCTAATGTTTAATTGAGTTTTAAAAGCCTTCTTCATCTTTCCCTTCTTCTTTTTTATTTCAAAAAATTTTTTTTTGGCATTGATGAGAGATTGTGATCAAATCAATTTCCTTAACTTTTTATCTTCATCTCCTTTGATTAATGTTTTTTATGTAAGAAATTTTTTTGTCACGTGAATGAACGACAGCCTCAAACATCGATGACAGATGAAAAAAGTTTGTGTTCGTAATGTTGTTCATGCATCTCTTGGGTGGTGTTTTGTGGGTTGAACGCTTTTACCTTAAAATTTCTTATAAAACCAGAAAATATTTTAAAAACAGAATAAAAAATTGAATGTCAAGTAAACAGGAAGAGGCATAAAATCAATTTATCAAAGATGTTTTTTCTTAACCTGACATTTCTCGTTTCTCTTTGAATTATATCATCGATGTTCTGGCTTTATGGAGAGCTTTTAAGCTAATTTCAGCAAGTCGTTCAACGGATTCTTTTTTTTTCCTTAACAACAGAATTCTCTTTTACATCTAAATACTTATCTTCTTACTTATTTAAGTTTTAATCCAATCTACAGTATCGTCATCTTTTATTAATGAGTGTGCATTTGACATCGTTAGAAATATTGTGAAAATAAATTTCTCTCTGTCGTCTCCTTCTGTTATCAATTGTTTGTTGAATCTACATTAGCTAAAATTTAGTATCAAGACTGGTAATGGATGGGATGAAAACTGGGAGAAATGTCGTTCATTTAGAAAGTTTATCTTAACTTCGTTTTTTTGTCTTCCTCTTAAATCTAAATACTGCAGATATCTAGAGTTAATTGTGTATAACAAAAAAAGAATTCATCGTTGACTATGCCGTTAAGAAGATGAGGTGGAACGCAGCAGGAAAAAGAAATTGAATGAAGAAATATAAAATGAAAGAAATCGTAAAGCTACTCATCGTTAAGCGAATTAAAACTGAGATTAAATTTTAATATTAATTTTCATCGCAACTCTCAGCGTAGTGATGTTAAAAAAGGATACAAAATGTCGAAAAAAGAGCTTCAAAAAGGTCTTCACAACTTGAGAAAAATAAACATGTTTCTTTGCTTGTTTTGCATTTGCCCCAATGATGAACTTTTTTTGTGACGTGAAATTCTTTTGAATTTGTTTTTAGGTAAAATGCTCGAAGTAAAGTAAAGCCTGAAAGTCGACCCATCTTTTCAATTTTATATTTTTTAATCGATGTGGATACGAAAAGAAAAGTAAACGTCCATTAAATAGAAATTGACACAAACAAATCTAAACGAAAAGTTCCCCAAGTCTAAATATTTAAAGGGAAAATGTTTGAAACTTTCACAGGGATTTTCTCTTTTTATTCATTTACTAAACAACAAAGCGCGGGGTTTCCTTCTACCGTACATGATGATGACGAAAAATGAAAATTGTGAGGGGTGGAAAAGCTGTAAACGGCAAAGCAAGATAGCAACGAAGAAAGCATGTTAATGATAATTGTATTTCTCTCGTTTTCATGGTTATGCTTGCCGCTAATTACTGTCTAATTCAATGGTGTTTTGCGTTCATTCTTCCGCGCTTAAAAAACATTTCTGTCTCTTCAAATTGGCGACAATTCTTTTAAAATTTATTTAATTTGACTAATTCAACACTTTATCCCAAAATCTTTCCAATCGAGAAACCAGGACCGTGATGATGTTCTGACTTAATGATGGAACGATGACGGTTTGGCTTGTAGGGTTCGAAATCTTCGTTGTTCAAATTGTTCTCCGGGTGATGATGTTCATAACTGCCGTTTTCATCAAAGTTTTCATGTGACATTTCATGACCGCCGTCAATATCATTACCCATTTGTGTTGTGAGTTTGTTCATCTCAATTGACGTTGAAACTTCTGAAGCTTTCAGTGCAATTGGTGTAACAGATACCAAGACTATTGGAGTTGATTCTTCTGCCACTTTTTGAGTGGTCGTAGACTCAACCAATCTTTCTGCTGTCGATTCTGGCGATGAAATTGTGGACGACGATTCACTCGACATTTCATTCATTTCCGTAGCAATGATTTCTGATACTGATGAAGAATCATAAAAGACTGTTGAACTAAATTCTTCTGTGTTCATTGTTGTTGGCTCTTCAGTTGTCGATGAAAGCATTTCTGTAGAACTAAAAGCAATTGGAACTGTTGTCGATGGGACGTGAGTTGTGACTTGTGCAGAATTTAGCAATCCCATACGAGGATCATGTCGTTTCTCAATATTTATCGGTTTTTCATTTGCAATCGATGTCAAAGCTGGTGTTGTTTCAAGCTGAGATTGTGAAGAAATCTCATTTGTTGAAATATCATTTGAGTCGGTAGGCTTCGGTGTTGTTAAATTCTTTTCCTCTTCAGTAGTTTGTGTGATGGATTGATTGTCAACAATTGATGACTCTGGAATAGAAGTGGTGGGAAGTTCTGTTGAAGCTTCTTCAGTTGAACCTTCAGTTGACTTTGTAACAGTAAAACGAGCTTTCACCAGAAGCATTGGTGGAATGAAATGATCTTCAGTCTTACTGACATTCTTACGATCAAGCGTGCCATTGCCAGCATCTATTTGTGGAATGGGATCCTTAAAAACAACTTGACTATGAAATAAAGGAACACCTTGAACAATAAACTTCGTTGTTGTTTCTTCAGTGACAACTGTTGTAACCTGTGGAGCTTCCGTTGACAAATCTGTTGAGATTGTTTCTGTAACTTCCGCTGTCAATCCCTCGTTAAGTTCTGTGCTTGAAGCCAGTTCAGTTGTAACTTTCAGGTCGACTGAAATTGTCGTTTCTGTGTCACGTCGTTGTCTTTCTGTCGTTGATGATGTTATTACTGTTGATAAAGTTTCGTCATGCGCTTCTTCTGCTGGTGCATCACCCATCATCATCTCACCGTCGTCTTTATTTTTTGTTTCTTTCTTGACACTTTTTGACTTCTTTTGGTAAACTTCCTTCTTTTCTGGTATCTTCAACAAAACTTTCTTGTCTTCTTCAGGATTTTCGACAATCGGTTGATCACCAACCATCAAAACTAATTCTCTTCGAACATCAGCAATATCCAAACGATTAGAATCAATTTCAATGTTTGTCTCAATATCACTGAGAACATCTTCAAGCATCTTTTGAGGGTTCTTGATGATCACTACAGGATGTGTTTCTTCAATTCTTGTTGTTGACTCATCAACCGTAGTTCTCTCGGTTGAAGTGAATGTTGTTTGTTCTTCAGGACATTTCAATTCGTTGTACATTGCCATTTGTGTCATTTTACTTTGACATGAGATTTCTTTAGTAAAGTTTTGGCATTGTCGAGACAATTGCACGGCGCCACTATCAGAAATATATTGAACAGTGATTTCTGAATTTGCTGTACAATGTAGAGCCCAATCGGGAACTAAATGAAAAGAAAAGAAAAGTTTAAGTTTAAAATGCTGCAAGATTTCTAAGAAAATAATTATAAACTTACTCTCCATCTCGCATAAGAAAGCTGCAGTTTCAGGTCCACCGCATCTCAATGCATGCCAACGATTGTCACGAGCTGGATCGATAACAGCGCAAAGTGGCGTTTCAGCAACTGGCCAAGGTTCAGCCCAATATCCTTCAGAAATTGGAAGTGGTTTTGAATTCCTGTTCAAGAAGAAGAATGATTACACTTGATTCAATTTATTTTCTAAAGCTTCACATACGTCCATGAAAATTGATCTGCATTTGTCGGGCGCATTAAACCAATCCACACATAATCCGAGATATCAAGATCTTTTAAGAATGTACGAGCAGCGTCGAATTGCTCAATGTTTTGAACTGGAAAGAAAGAAGATGAAATGTTAAATAATATGTGTTTTCTTAAATGAAGATATCAGATTTTCTTGAAAGATTTTATTTCATTATGAAAATTTTTGCAGCTGCTTTCGACGTCACGTGAGACTTTTCCAACGTAATACTTCACGTTACTTAGCATACGTTATGAACGTTACGTTTCACGTTTCTGCTACTCGACGCGTGTCTAACTCACCACACGTGCGTATATTCCTAACGTAAAGCTTTTCCTTATTTTTTAAGGAATAAAAAATATTTTTCATCTAAACCTTCTGAGCTTCATGAAGATATCTGCATATATATGTATGTACATGTTATATCAACAAATCCATTTTTTCCCTGTGTATCGCATTAAAGCAGCTTTTGTGCAAATTTCTGAGCTTAAAAAAGCATCTTACTTTTTATTGTATTTCTTATAGCAGATATTTGCTTCAAACATTCATATTATCAAAGTAAACAGCCTTGTAAACAGCAATTGAATCAGAAAGCTCGGTTTGCATACTAAAAAATGAAGATTTTAAGAAAGATTTTAATGATTCAGCTGAATTAGAAAACCAACGAACTTTCAATAAAAGTGCGATTTACATAACAGAAGCTTTTTCTCGAACAATCAAAAGAATTTTCATAGAACTTTTTCAGTTGAAAAGAGAACAAAAATATTTCTTTTCTGAAGCGCTAGCAGCATATCTTCTTCGTTTTACGTACCATTAAACTAGAAGAAAAACTATGAAAATAAGCAGAAAGGAAAGTTGCATGAGTGATTTCACTGAAATTGTAGTGAAATTCATATGGAGAAACTTTTCACAAAAAGATTGTGAAATATTTCTGCAAGTGTAGTCAAAAAGAAACATAAATTTCAAGTATAAAATATTGCAACGTATAAGGAACTGTTGTGAAGAATTTCAAGATGTTTTGCATGGTTGGCACTTGAAAATATGGAAAAAAAATACCCGCAGTCAGAAATCCTGAATCTCAACTTTTTTACTTTATTCCTGAGCTTTCAAGTTAAGCTTATCATGAACGAAAATTGTAATTTTTGATGTCACAACGCAAAATACCAAAGAAATTATATAGTTAAGGAATTTATCTCCCGTTCATTAAACACCCAAAACGAAAAACTGTGTAAAGAATGTTAGAAAAGTTTGAAACATTGTAAATTGTTCAGTTTTTGGGTTTCAATTTTGATATTCCAAGCACACTTTAAAACGAAGGCAATGAGATATATTTCATCATTATTTATTTCTGAATGCACGAATTTCATGCTCAATCGTTTCGAAACAAACTCTTTTGAACACAAGAAGATAAAATGTAAAATATTTTCCCTTGTCACAGAAGATCAATCATCAAATCAACCACGAAACCAACGAAGTACTAAAGTTGAAATCTTATCTGACAATCGAGTGAAAAACTGAAGGGAGGTGAAAGCGCAGAATTAGCACGAGTTTATTTTACCACCACATCGTTTGCGATTTGAGAGTATGAAAAATAAAAAGAAAGCGAGATTCTGAAGCACTTTTAGAGTTTATTAGGCGTCTCATTGCGCTCGTGAAAATAGAAATAAAAAACACACTTCAAGAAGATTTTTATATCTTATGAACTTTTTCACTCAACAATCTCAACGCAATGTCACTCATCCTGTCACAAAGCTTCTTTTTAAGAAATAAAAAACAATTTCAACACTTTTAATCACTTGTCAACTCCTTTGCGATGCTTCAGTTGTCGGAGAGCAAGCTTATACTTCAAGATTTAATTGTTTTGAATATTTCTTGATGATGAAAGATGAATTTTCCATGTATTTAATATAAACAGAAAATTTTCAATCAATAAACCTCTCATTCTTCTGATAGAAAAGTTCTCTAATGTTGGAAAACTCATTATTTAGTTCGTTCGTTCCTTGGTTCGTTCGTTCGGTATCAAAGCAACTCTTCATTAGAATCTAATCGACTTTGCACAAGGAAAAGTGATTTCTCCCATTTCCATTTAAACTTCTTAACAGCACAAAGGAAAAAAAAGAATTTTTTTTTGTTTCAAAATCAACAGCTAACATTTCAAGAAAAAATATATTTTTCAATTAAAAGTTGTTCGTTGAAAATTGAAATGAAAACCTTAAAAACATTCCACCAACGACTTCAGTCCCTGTGAAGAAGAAAATCTCGCTCTTACTTGGCAGAACTCTCGAGATAAATGTCGGTATTTTTAAGTCTTAAGAAATGAGTGGGTGGAGGGTGAGGAAGGCGAACAACAAAATTATTTCACTCGAGAGTGTTCCAAAAGTTTTTGTCGATTTTGTTGGCTTGCGTGAAATTAACACAAGAAGCTTTCAAGAAATTCTTGATAACGTTTCAAAAATAAATAAAGACATTCAAGTTCTATTAACACTTTTAATTCACAGAAATCATCTTGAAGTCGTTTGCAATATGAAAACCAAATTGGGTTGTAAATTAAGTTGACAAACGGCAAACTCACATTATTTCTAAAGCTTTCTAACCAAAGAAGAAATTAATGATAAAACAGAGTTTTCCTAATAAATGCTTAACTTGTTTTACTACCGAATCTATTTTAGATCCGATGTAAATATTTACATAATTTTTTTAGACATTAATAATTAGTAATTTTACTCATGTTTTGAACAGTTATTATGTTTCGAAGTAGGAGTGAGATTTTTGACATATTTCGGTGGTTATATTCACTAAATACCTTCCACGCAAAATTCATTAAAATGCCTCTCATAAGCCTTCTTTCCCTCCATTCCATTATTTATCTATTTTTCATTCCGCATCATAAAAGTCAACAGCACATTTATCGGTATTTTATTAAGATTGAAGGTGATTATAAAATCACGTCAATGATGGAGAAATTCTATTACCAAATTTAGTCTTTAACGAGTCTCTCTTTTCCTCGTTGTTGACTTGAAGATGGTGAGAACAGTTTCTCTAGTGGAAAAGATGTAAGAAAATATTAACGACATTTTGTTCCGGATACTTTCATTTTTATCGTCAACTCAAAAGTAAAAAAAGTTTCATTTTTCTCTTGATTTTTCCAGTCCCTCGTTTTAAATGACATTAGATGAGAAAATATGATATCTTTAGAAATAATTTCACAATCACATTGATGCTGTTATTCTATCATTTGTTCACCTGACACAGTCAACCTTTTTCATTCGACATTTTAACTTGAACCGTTCAATATTCTCCTTTCAATATTATCATCTGTCAAAGTTAAATTAAATTATAATCGAAATTTGATACTGAAGAAATTTCTAAAGTTATGTAACTTTCATTATGTCGGCCTTTTGCATGCATGTCTAGATAGCTTTCACGTGATGGATTAATCTTCTGAGTAATATGAAATCATTTGATGGAAAATTGTATGTGATCACAAATTAATTGAAACGAGCACAAATGTTTAACTAATCTCGAATAACGAAAATTCATCGTTCAATTTAGAGACTAAGGCTAGGTTTATCGGCTCCTTAATTATGTTTCTTTCATCGTTGTGTTTGTAAGTATTTTTATAGGAACAATCAAGAATTCAAGCAGACAAGTTGGGTCCACAGTTCAGTAGTTTATCGACATATTTTATGAACATATTTCGGCATGTATGTAAAATCAACCAAAGGACATCTTTAAAGAATTCATTTCTGAATACTCTGAGATAATGCGAATATTGAAAAAAGAAATATCTACTTCCATTCAAAACATGCACAACATATATTAATGTGATCCTTTTCTTATCTGCTGAAATCTTCATTTTCGCTTTGGGACCGATTACTAAGAGAATCCTCTTGAATCGATTCTATCGTTCATCAATAAATGGCCATTTAATATTGTTGTATGAGATCCTTTTAGCCTTAGTAATTGGGTAGAAGAGGAATCAAGTGAAACAGAAAAAGGGAGCAAACGGCACAAATGACGATATCGAAATTTGCTGACAAGATAATAATTTCTTCATATAATAATGCCTATAAAATAATGATGATCGCCAATATCTTTCATATGGAAATGTTATTTCATTTTCCCAACCCGAACGTTATTATTATGTTGATGGAAGACAACATGAATTAAGCAAGCTTTTGAATTTAAATCTGATGAAAGTTGCTAAGCTTTAATATGAAATTTTGATGAAGTTTAAACATTAAAGTTGGTCCATTTGCTAAAAGCTTTTTTTTATATTTCAAGAAACTAAACTATGAAATTTTCTTGAAAAACTTGAACTTTCTTCGAAGTGTGAGATTAAATATTTCACGATAAACAGCTGTTAAGAATGTTTTAAGAAAAAATGAATATTTCAAAGAAGAAAGAAAGTTTTAAAGACAATTTAAATATAAATTGAAACACTTCGTGTGTATGTGCATTCATCATGTTTGAAGAATCTTATCATAAACTTCAAGGAAGGAATACGAGTCATAATAAAAATTAATAAAGAGAAAGAGATATAGGTTTAAGAAATATTAATCTTATCAAAAGGATGTGATATGTGGCCAGAAGATAAACAAAACATGTAAACATAATAAAATAATTCAAAGGATCTCCGCCTTTTGTTGTAAATCTTTCAGCATAAAAAAAGTGATATCTCTCATGTATGTATTCATCGTCACAACTTCCGTCTTGGAACGAGCTGGCTACCAAACACAGATGCATAACATTTTTCAAACAGAAGCAAGTCCATCGATGAAACATCATGAACAATGACTCAACCTTTTTGTTAACATTACAATTTCGAGATTCATAATGATGGAAACCTTTTTCTGCTTCCTTGTCTCTCTTTTTCTCGTTTCTATGATTATTCGACAAACTATATCAATTAATCAAGTCAAAAGTCCTACTAGTTGGGCGTTTGTGAACATGTACAAGAAACAGTTTCCGTTGCTTTAATGACATTTTAATGTGGTGCCGTAAAGTCGAAAGTAGGATGTCTACTTAACAAGGACAAATGACAAGACAATTAAAAGCTAAATGAGTAGTTACCGGAAAAACTGCGCAGTAGTGAAATTTGCACATTTAATGAATATTAAAAAAGGACTTTAATTACCTGTCACAAGATTCGCATGATGGAATTGACAAACGGCATCAGCTTCAAACCATGATATTTTGTCACGGAAGTATCGATAGAAAACATTGAAGCCAGGTTGCGGTAATGTCCATGTGTTGCTGATATTCACCTGAAAAATAAAAGTTCAAAATTAGAGTACAAAAGCATGTAAAGTTTTATGATATACGAGCTGATCCCGCAACAATTCTTTTCTTCTCTCATAATGATGTTTCAGGCAATTTGTGTTTCATTCGTTGTCACGATTTATTGATTGCACGCCATAGGAATTGATTAAGACGCGATAACATGTGAACATGTAATATTAACGTCAAAGAAATGAAATTTTCTTAAATAATTCGTAGCAGAAAAATTTTCCACGCTTCGTAAATATGAGAAAAATATTCAAATTGAATAATGTTAGAAGAAACGTAATGAAGCATTTTGTGATAAATTCAAAATATACATTATGACATAATGTCTCGTTCTCATATTTTCCCTTTCTTCCAATCCATTGGCAAATTATCTGATATCAAATTTTCTTCTCTTTATATTGCCACATCATGCTGGAAAGATTCACATGGTGACAAAACTGACTTGTCTTCCATTACTCATCTTACTTATTTAAATATTAACATGTCAATATAAATTTAACTCTCCAAGTGAACATTCTGAATGAATTAAATACTTATGAGTGAATGTGTATCTATGACGATAATTCTGACGAAAGCTTGCAAAGAATTTTCCTTCAAAGCGAGGAAATTTATCGTAAATATTGCCAAAAACTTTTCCATTGCCCAATAGACCCAATGGCGTCCAAAAAAAGAAAAAAAATAATCTTTTTTGTTCTCTTTCCGTTTTCTATCTTCGTTAACACGCTTATGGAAAGTTTTCTTTGCTCTGTTCTATGCCACAATCTCCAGGCTTTATCTCCTCGCATAAACTTTAATGCCATTCCGATATTATTTATTGTGAGGGCGTCGAGCATTAAACGACAGCATTTTCGTTCTTTTATCCATCGTTGAAAACGACAAAGCGAAAGAAAATGAAAATCTCATAAGATTTCGAGTGGCTACGAAGGAAAATGGTGGCAATTTCGGTACTTCTTCTTCCATGCTAAAGATTAAAGGTCTTTTCCTAACGAGCGATGTTCCATTAAGATATCACTTTAATATCGCTCGTAATGTAAAAGACGAAACGAAACCAAAAAGCGTGTTACATGCGTGAAAAAAATCGTTAAAAAATCTCGTTTTCTAGACTTAAGATGGCCCTTTTCTTTGTTACTTTAATAAATTGAAGCAGATTTAGTGGAAAGCCATTAATCTGATTTATGTGTGTGGTTCGTTTTCAAAAAGGTTACACAAAAAAGAAGAAAAGAAATGTCTCAGTTGATTTCATATAAATAGAAGACTAAAAGAAATATTTGCGATGTTTCATTATCCTCGCTTTCTTTTATATTCTTATCAAATTTTATGCGGGAATTGAGACAGTTTTGTTTTACTTTTATAAGTGAGTACATCATGAATAATTGCAGTCTCCTTTCGTTCCTGCAACTGTGACATGAGAAGATTGACAAAGCAGAAAGTAAAAGTACCATTGAGGGAGAAAGGAAAGCTTTATGAAAATGGGAATTAATAAAGAAAGTCATTATTCAACGCTCAGTAGATTAAAGTAGACTTGACTTGGCGACTTTAGGGAGACTGCAAGACGTGATTATTTGAGAGCCCTTAACAATTAATTTCTTGATTAATTGCAAGAATCAGACAAAAATTTATCTCAGAATGGCGAATATGGTAAGCAAAACAAATGGAAAAGTTCAAGAAGCCTCATAGAGTTATTTAACAAATAAGAAACTCTCTTGACGTCAATAAAGTTTGTTTAAGTAAGTTGCCATCGACGCATATTAATGTTTTATGAAACATCTCGATGAAACGTAATAAATTTTATTAGGAATTCTTTTTTTCATTCTCAGCTCTTCTTTTGAATATGAAATTGGATTCAACTTGAGCATGGCAAAAGTCAAACATCATCAACAAGAAAGTTATTAATTCTATTTCATTCCTTGCTCTCCATTTGCGTTTTCCTTGGTCTTTCAAGTGAAGTACGTTAAATATTATTTTGTTCATATTTTTTATGCTTTCCCGCAGCACCTCTCACTTTATTCTCATAAATGATCCAAAATCGCGATAACGGGATTAACATCAAGCATAACAATGACTGAAACTGAACAATGAAGTGACGATGGCAGTAAAGTGAAGTGAAGGCAGGAATTACATGGACTTCTCTTCGTGTCTAAATACAACAAACACAGTTGTCAACATTTGAAAGCATAAAAAACGCAATCAAATGTCGCACAATGAATTTTTCTCTCTTTTTCGACTTTTATGCCAGTTTGTAAGGTTGAAAAATGAAAACAGAAAATTAAGAGGTCGAGCAAAAATCGATTGTCCATGGCTGTAAGCTTTCAATGTTTTATAAATTTAAACAAGAAAGTAAATACAAGAGCAACAAGGACATGGCTCGAGGAAAGGCGTGGAGAATAATGGATGCCGATTGTCAGTTGTTAAATTAATTAAATTTATCGATAACTTGAACAACACTTAATTGAATAGTCTTCTTAATTGCAAACAGTTTTAGGTCAGAATCCAAAACTAATCGACAACCCTACTAAGGGAAATCAATAAGACGTTGGAAACAGAAACATGCAAAATTTCCTCTTTCTTGACGCTCAGTCATTGAATCAATAATTTATAAAATTAAATTGACATTTATAGCCAAGATTTCATTTTCAATTTTTTCTCAGAAAAGTTCAAAGAAAGAAAATTGAAAAAAGTCCCCTACACATAAAACCTTGATTTGAAATTCAAATTGTTTCTTGGAAGTGAAAAAGCATACGATATTCGGTATTGAAACTTGAAACAAGAAGAGCCAAGAAGTTCCTTTTTTTATTTCGGAATTATCAGAGCTCATATGGGATGGCAAACTTGAGTAGAGAAAACTATGAATAATTTATTGATAACATGATTTCTTTCGTAGATATTCAAATTGTTTAAACAAGAAATCTTCCACAATGTTATGATAGCAAGAAGTGTGCAATGCAGTATTTTAAAATTAAGTAGAAATCTAAACTTCTTTCACAAAATAATTTATTGTTCTCTTGTTCCATGTTTACAGGCCTAACATTAATTTTGAAATCCATTTATAAAGCTTTTGGGATTATTTTTTGTTCACTTCCATTAGATATCTCTAGATATGTACTTTGATATAAAATCTTCTTAAAAACGATTTCCTTTCCCAAACCGATTCAGGTAGAAAACAAAAAAGAAATAAAAGAAACTGTCAAACGTTCATCCTTCTCATTAGACTGTAATCTCCAACAAGCTTTGGTAAATCAAAACGAATGTTCTCCACAAATATCTACTACTAGTAACTAAGTAACTAAAGAAAGAAAAAATTTCCACTGATTTAATCAGAAAAAGAATTTAATTTCAACCATGAAAACTTTAAGAATAGTTCAAAGGAAAACTTAATTAGAAAAACCATTTTCAGCAAACTTTCAACTGAACATAAAAGAAATTCTTTTATCTTTATAACGATAAATACTTAAACATTTAACTCCCACCCTTCAAGAGAAGAATGTCAAAAACTTTCTTTACCACATGTGCGTCTTTCGCGAATTTATGTGACGTTTAAAGTTTATGAACGTGTGTGGTACGATGGAAGAAACTTTTGGAAAAAAATCGAGCAGGAAAATGTTATTGAAATATATTTTTTCATCCCCTTCCTAGATATTTACCTGCCACTCTGCTCTTAGACCCTTTAGGTCACAAATAAAAATAACATAAGTTAATAAACAAGCAAATTTCAAAGCTATGACAACGATTGGTTACTCAAACAACATGACAACTTGTAAAATTAACAACAAACAATTTAAATGAAGTTCAGAATTGAAAAATCGATCAAAAAAGTTGAACATTTGATTTTCACAACTTTTGCTTAACGAAGAATTTCATCTTCTTAATGGAGCTTCTTATCTAATGAGATTTCTTTTTCTTTATTGACTCTCATTTTTCAATAAATCGAATCCATTAAAAAGTTCTTACTCGTTATTTGTTCTAAAAGATTGAGAGATATGCTTTTGGAGTGGGAAAGCATTTAAATGGGGGTCTTCAATTGCCTAGCAAAGAAACTTCCGTTTTGAACTGCCATCTCAAGTCTCAGGATTCACATTTGGTAGAAAATACAACCAGTAAATTCTGTAAATTCTTATTTTATTTCGTTTTTCAATTTCCCTATAGCAACATTATTCGGGCAGAACAGGAAAGGAAGAAATGTTGAATAAAAAAGATGTAAAGTGAGCGGGAAAAAGCGGTTATAAAGTTTTCTCTTTTTTTACTTTTACTTTTTGTCGTATCTTCAGCCATCACAATCTCGATAAATTATTCACAAATCACGAAGAATTTTTTATGATTTTATATGTTTAAGAAGATTTGAGTTTGAAGAGAAAGAGAAGAAGCTAAAAGATTAAAGTGTTGCGCTTTTCTTTCTACCGTCAATAAAATTTCAAAAGAAAACTTACAGCTCGACTTTGAGAAAAATCAATTTGCGATAGTAATCCAATCAAAATGAGTTTCATTGGAATTTTTGATCTCATTTTTCTGCTTCTTTTTGGTTCTTTTTATTACACAATAGATAAATAAACTTTTCACTTTCTTCACCTTTCCGACACAAATAAAATTTCTTCTTGATTTTACTTTCTTGTAACAAATTTTCCTCGAATTAATTTTTATTCTTTATTCTTTATGACAATTGCTATGAACCGTTCTAAAAGGTCATCATCACAATCTATATCTTTGAAGAAGTTTATTTGAAGGAAAATATCTAAACACAATCGCGAGCAATCAAAAAGCGAATCTGCATTAAGTGAAAACTCAAAACCTTCTGAAAGCGACAAAAGCTTACATCGATGTTTAGAAACAATACATTCCAGTGAATGTTCCAGTCTTTTTTTGAGTTGCGCGTGCGTATTATAAATTAAAAACATCCTTATTCATAGATATCTCTTTCTGTTAATTTATTCCGCATAAAAATTCTGTTTTATTCATTTTGTGCTTCCCTTTTTCGTCGGAATATTTCGAACGCATCTCTATGGTGACATTAATTATTTTGAAAAATGTTGCAACGGTGCATTGAACTAGAAATGTTTCATACGTTCATCATGCTATACATTGAGTTGTGGCACGTTTACAATCAAGAGCGTGTCAAATCTTTTGTTAAATTACAAACTTTTCCTGTCGACCTTGATACGGAAAATGTAAAGTTCCTTGATTGAACTGAATTACTTCGAATTCCATTATTATGCGATGAATGCTCAATAACGAAACCTTTCTTTTTCAACAATTTATTGTATTTTCACATTTTTGTTTCACAGTTTCATGATTGTGCAAAATGAACATGAACAGCAAACGGAATGAATCCCGCTAAAAATTTATTTTCCTTCCCTTGATAGAAGCACGTCAGTTGAAAAAATATTCAATTAATCTTCGCTTTCTATGAACTCTCTCTACAGTTCTTTCCTTTCTTTTTTTCTATTGGCATCGATTGAGAATAATAAATGAAAGTTAAGGAAAATATCTCGGTTAAAAAGGCGCTCATCATTTAAACGTTTGCACTGATGAGAAAGCGTGAACCGAAAATACCTGAAATTGTTTTAGCACTTTTGTTTCAGCATGGAGAGAAGAGACGCCGAGTCTACGTGACCTCATTAGAATTCAAGTCAGAAACTCTGAATTATTTTTATTATTTCTCATTTTTAAGCAGTAAACTTTCTTTCATTACTTTTTCCTTATTCCTTCTTAAGCAGATAAAACAAAACAAAAAATGCCCAGCAAGAAAATGTCCAAAAGATTGATTAGAAAGATAATCTTCATAATGAGGTGTGGGATTGGATGACAAGAAATTATAAAAAAGAATTTCAAGGTCTAAAATATGCGATAGCATGCGAGATTAGAAAATATTTTTATCAAATGAATGAAATATTTGAGGTGATTGTTGATACTTAAGACAAATATTTCCTTTAATTACTTTGAAATGTTTTTATTTCTGGAATGAGTTCAAGAATTGCAATTCCGATTATCAATGTCGCAATACTATCAGATGATATTGATTATCTTTGAATGTACAACAAAATGTCACTGATATCGCCAGGTTAAGCTGATAAGACTTTAAAGGCTATAAAAGTATAAAACTTGTTACTTTTCTAGTGATATCGTTTTAGTTTAAATTTAGACAACATTCGATAAACAAGCCAATTTAAATTGGTTTGATATGGAGAGTTTGGAAAAGATGGAAAAACCTGAAACATTAAAAGACGAGGAAGTTCAAGAGGATGAATCGTTCATCCCAGTTGAGTTTTTCATCAACAATGGCGTTAGATTATTTAACCATAAGAATTATGGCGATGCCTACGAAAATTTCCTGTCTGCAGGAAAAGTTTGTCCTAAAGACGCAACAGAGAAGTTGAAGACATCACTTCAGAATCGTGAAGCTCAAGCTCTCAGTTTCTTTGTTTATTATTCTTGGATCGAAAGCGAATTTACATCGCAAGAAGCTTTCGACACTCTCGAGTTTGCTTACGAAATGACAACTGACGAGTTGTTAAAAAGCTTCATCTTAAATTGCCAATACGAGATTCTAATTAAAGAAGGTGTTCAAGGACTGCCAAGAAGATCCATCGACGAGAGAGAAGAAGTTGAAGAAACCAAATCATCAAGCAATTCAGAATTATCAATGTCAACAGAAGAAATTGAAAATGTTTTTGAACATTCAAAACTTTTACAAAATATTAATGTGAATGAAAGCAAAACTTCAAACTTTGAAACTAAAACTAACAACTTTGAGAATTTAATTCTCTTTGCTGTTGTGGGATTTTCCGCACTCATCTTTTATGATTTTTTTAAACATCTTGGAATTTTGTAACATGTTTAAAGTGATATAATGTTAAATGACGTAAGTTCAATGCTTTGTTTTTGTGACTTTATCTTTCATAGTTAGAGAAAAGATAACATAAATGAGTTTATGAGAATATTCTGTAATAAAAAAAGTCTTTAATTTCAATTCCAAATGTATTTTCAAGCATCCAAACTCTATATCGATTTTAAGAACGAACACCGCAAACAAATTATTTGTACATCGATAAAATACCGAACATTTCTTTGCCATTGCTGTTGCCGCTATGGTAACCGAATAAATATTAAACTTCACTGAATTTATTTATTAGATAGACATTTTAGTCTGGCTTGGTTTGAATATCATTTACAAATGAAAATTTACAGGTGTCTCGATAACCAAATCAAGTCTCAGTCTCATAGTTTTGTGAACGAAATTGAATTAAATTTTCAACTCTGTTCAACATATTGGATTTTAATTTTTTACACTCGAACTCAAAGTTAGACAAACTGAACATGTAAAATTTTGTTTTCTGTAAGGATGAGACTGAGTCACGTGCAGATAAGAATTTATGACTAGTGACTGGAGTTATCTAATTGACTCTTTTTTATCATGTTACAAGACGAAAGTTTTTTTGTTTCAACTGACATGAAATTGTTATAAAAATGAGATCTTAAATATTTCTTCTTTCAAGTACAAAATGACTTATGATGTTCTTCTTTTGAATGCAACTTATGATCAATGGTTCGTGATTACAAATAAAACTATAAAAAGCTTCATTTGCCAAATGCTGCCAAACGTTGTCGTTGCTTGAGAGATTTATTTTTGTCTTCTTTTTTATTTTTATTGTATTGTGCAGTCGCATAAATTTTTATTATTTCTGCATTATTCTGTATGAAATTTGTTGAGTTTCAGAAGCGACAAAAATATTTTTCAGTGATGATTTTTCAACGAAATATTTTTTAGTTTCTCACGATTTTTAAGAGATGTGGAAAATGGATGTTCCCGATTTTTATCAACCTTGGAAAATTTCCTAAAGCTATTCTCATGAGATTTCGTGAAAAACTCTGTCTTTGAAGAAATTATTTATGGCAGGAATTTATGACTGCAGTTGAATTGTCACCAGAGGAAAATCGAAATATTTTTATTTATTTATCTGTTTTCTTCACATTTTCACCTGAAGGATAAACAAAAAGAAGTCATTTGACTTCCTCTTTCAATTAAATATTCTGTTTATATTTTACCTTCATTAAATTTTAATGCACTTGATGACAGAATATTAAAATGAATATCAAAGAATATTCAAAAGCGTCAACTTCAAAGGAAAGGATTGTGGAATGAAAACAAAAAGATTTTCTTGTCTCAATTCTTTCACAAGATGTTAAATTATCAATGACTCTCCTTTCACAAGAGGAATTTTGATAAACCTATTAGATATGCAATATTTTATGCCAACATATAGCTAACAAAAAACATGTTTTCTACTGAGATTCATAAGTATTCGACCCAACCCGTAGCAAGATAGAATAAAGGAAAGACAGCAGAAACCAAAAGAAAATTATTCAATTTTGATCACGTTTCGAGTTTTCAGACAATTTTCTTTCATGTTTGTTTGCCCCATCTTAAGGCTAAACATTTTCTTTATAAATTAAAGGACATAGTAAGAATGAAAATAAAAGAAAAATTGCTGCTAACAAGGGAACGTCTCGAATTCTCTTTACAACCTCAATCAATCTGATTTTTTTTTGTTCTTTTATTTTTCATCTTTACAAATGCATTCAAAGTCCATTTCATCGCCATATCAACAACAACAAATATCCTTTTTTATCTCCTTTCAAACATCGATACTAATATACATGACGGAACAGAGAATAAAAATGAAAACGAGGCAAGAAAAGAAAGAAAATTGAGATGTTATTTTTATCTGGCACGTAGCGAGAAGCGACTTGGATAAAAAATGTACACAAATCAAGTTAATAAACGAAATCATATGATAGGAAGCGAATGTGTATTAAATCAAATTACATTACATCAACATCATATGTACCGTCGACAAACGGGAAGAAGTTTGTTGGGGAAAATTTGATGAAAAGTGGTTGGAGAGGTTTGTAGAAGCCCAAAGGCATTTTAACGGAAGAATATTGTTATTGGGTAGAGAAGAGAAGCAAATTACGCAAGCATAAAGCTTATGCCAGTAAAAGAGTAACGAGAGTGAAATGTTTAGCTTCGATATTGAAGACATGAGAAGGTTGAAAGCATGAAATGTTGGTGGAAAAAATGAATAATTCATGGGTGTTTTGTATAAGTTTTTCACCTTTACAACTTACCCTGACAAAGAAGCATGCAGAGTGGCGAACTTTTAGGGGAAGGCAACGATATTGGTGGGTTAGAATAAAAAGCACACTCTTGACATCACATTTTCTCGAGATTTGATGCATAAAAGAGATCACTTGAGGATTTTTCACTGTTTTCATGATGGAAATCTGAAAGTGAAGTCTCACGAACTGTTTTCCTTGTCTCTTTTTTTTTGTTTTTTTATTAAGCAAAGTTATTGAGAAGGAAAATCTCGACAACTGACGAAATTCGTTTCCATATTTATTTACTTGACATTAAACTTTTGAAGGAAAGCTTTTTTGTTTTGAATTGTACATGATTGCTAAGCTGCTTTACATCTTCTGATATGAGTCGAACAATTGGATAGAAATTCATGTCATGACTAACGACAGTCGCTTTAAGTTGAGAAACTCCTTCCTCTAAATTTGATAGCAATTTCCTAGGATTTTCATGATGTAAACCATTTGAACTCAATTCAACGTCAGCAAGTTTACATACGAGAGTTTTTCTGGGATATTTCAGGAATTTTAAAGGCATTTTGAATAGAGAACTGATTTTAATGTCTTCAATCTTTGCTTCATCCATGAGGAAGACTTTGACAATATCTTTGCTTGATGGCGAGTTCAAAATTTTTCCACGCTTGAATTCTTTCAACGTTTTTATCAAGCACAACTTTCCAGTCATATCACAAAAGCAATGAAATCTTTCAAGAAGCTTATTCAAAAGAAATTGCTCAATTGTTTCTGATACAGCATTCGATTCATGCTTCGATGAATTTTCTTTCAGTTTCTGCTCTAATTTTATGAATTTATCAAATATTTGCTTCAACTCATCCTCCATCTTTTCCATTTGAATTTTCAATTCATCAATAAGCGGGAAGACATGAAATGTGATGGAATCAATAGTTTCGATAAAAATGAAATGAAATTCACTGATTTCGTTAGCTACCAAATCGAAATATTTGATGTTTTGTTCTGTATGAATTGAATGCATGATGTGAAATTTTCGTCGCTTTGGTTTCAATTTCTTTTTCTTGTAAAAGAATTCTGTAAGATTTTCTTCAGTTGTTGGATATTGAAGCGTTAGATTAGAAATCAAATGTCGATCATGATGAAAACATGAATCTTCATTGCATTGAATCAGAAATTCTCGCATTTCTTCCACTGAAACGTCAACCGACAAAGGAAGTCGAAACATCTTAAACTCATCTGCAAACTTCTTCTCTTGCATTTCTTCAACGAATTTTGTCATCTTTTCGACATTTGACAAATCGAGTTCTTCTTCAAATTTCTTTTTTTCTTTCGGCCATTGCTCAGATGCTTCTCGCCATCGAGCTAACTTCTTTGTTACTAAATTTTGTTCTATCTCATAACCCTCTCGCATTAATATTTTTAACTCACATTCATAAACATCATCATCAACATGTTTAACCTCAAGTTCAAGTTGTTTGTTAGTAACTTTTTTGTAAATGAAATTTGCACCGATCAACTTTTTATATTTGTCATCATTTAAAAGAATAATGCGAGCTAGTCGATATTTTCTCGCTAGCATTGGGATGTTTGATGCAATCTTAACAGGAAATATATCTTGTCGTTGAACACATTCATTGAATCCATAATCCACAAGATAAACTTCGAAGATATCTTCCAATTCATGTTTTGATTCAATGATTCCACGATGATATTCTGTGAATTAAAATCGAGTGGAAAATGAAAATTCAATTTAAATATTTTATCACTTACTAGCTGTAATTGGATCCTTCACTACCACTGGTTGTCCAATTTCCAACAAAATAGTTTTTGATTCTTGAGACTTTGTTGAATAAGCACTTTCAAGTAAGTTCATGACTTCCTTTAAAGACTTATTGTCAACAACGAATATGGTTCCATTGTCGTCGACATGAGTTGAAGAACCTTTCAATTTGTCTCCAACTTCATGAGTTTTCGGTTGAGTCCACGATTTTATACGTTTTGGTTCGTCATTGCTTTGAACATTTTTCAACTGATTCTCTTTTAAATAGCGAATGTATCCTTGATAAGCTAAAAATTCTGTTATGTTAAAGAATTTCTCTTGAATCGTTGTTACAACATGATGAGTTTCAAATCCCCATAGAATAACTGGAAGACTTCCACACTCATTGCTTTCACCAACCACACAAATTTTGTGATTTTTAAAACAATGAACCGTGTGCTTGAAAGCTGTGATTGATGGTGGTGCCCAAGATTTTGCACAAACTGGATTAGCATAAGCCAAATGCATTTTGACAACCTCAGAAAATTTATTTTCTTTCAGATGTTCAGGAAGATTTTTTTCAGTGAACGTAGCATAAAACTCTCCAGGATCAACCACATATTTGATTTTAACGTAGAATCTTTCCTCTGAAACTTTTTCTTCATTTTTCATTTTAGATTCTTTCAAATCTTTCAAGTCAATGCCTTCAAAAATTCCCAAACTTCCAGGTCCGGTAGAGTCAGCAGCCTTAAATTTTGTAACCAATAGAGCATTAATATTAATAGTTCTACCATTTCCAGGCTTAACAAAGATGATGATAGGAATCTTATTATTGGATAAATTTGATTTTTTAACTAAAACTTCCACATCAAGTTTCTGATCCATTAAAAGTTTTTTAAACTCTTCGATTGTCCGTAAGGGAAAATGGTGAGCATATTCTTTTTTTGCTTTAATATCTGCAAGAAAACATTCGGCAACTCCTTGAGGTTCTTTGAGGAAATCTTCAGGTAATTCTTTCAATTTATCCGATTTGACGTTACACATTTTTCCGGTATCCAAAGTGAAGATATTAACTTTACTCGCTAGTTTTCTCATAATCTGACAACGTCGCCAGGCACCGCCAACGAAAATGGCAGCATAACTGTGGATCACTATTTCTTTAATATTTTTTATATTTGATTCCATGCTAAAGAAGCTCTGCATGGCCGATTGAAGAATTTTTTGTCTTCCAATGATCTGTTCATCTTTCTCACGCACAAAAATCGAATTGAAGTTTTCCAAGTGAACAATCTCAGCTGAGAATTGGTTTTTAAAATTGGGGTATTTAGGAATCAACATTGTATCGTAAACTGACTTTTTGTTATTAAAAGAAAATAAATTGTCTCGTATTTTTAAATGATAAAAGCGACTTTCAATTTTACGAGTTTTTGATTATTTCTTGACCTAATGGAAGTTGAAAAGACTTTTGATTAATATGTTTCATTAGGATTTGGTATCTAATGTTGAATCTATTTTAACTTACACTTTTATGACTTAAATTTTCATTATTTATTCGCGATTTCACTTAAAATTTGCTTGTTCGATTAGTCGAACGAGCTTACGTGACATTACGCGTAACTAAGTTATTCAAAAGCGTAAACTTTGAACCTGCGCGCAGGGGGTATCAATCTCAGTCGATTTTTAAAAATTTCACTTTCAGCTTGAAAGTGCATGATTTCCTGAATTTCAACAATGCATTGTTACTTTACTGTTTATTGAAAACTCAAGATATTCTACATATGCACTAGCTGAAAGTTTTCATAGCCGCATTGATTTTCTATTTTGTGGCTTCATTCCAATTTTATTTATTCGAAAAGAAAATTGTCCATGAACTGAATTCATAAAAAGTAATCTTAACAATGCAATGTCGAAGGTGGAGATAGCAGAAAAATAAACACAATGAAAATTAATGTTATTGAATCCCAGTACCTAATGCTGTTTTAGTAAAAAGAGAATACCCAGAAAACTTGGGTAGATAAATAGTAAGCCCCGAAATCACCAGATAAATCTGATTTCTTATACGACTGGCTTCATTTTCATCTGACAAGCTTAACAATAGTAAGTTTTTGAAGCTTTTCACAATAGTAACTTCTCTTTAGATTCAAACCTTTATTCAAACGAATGAATTGTAAACATGATGCGGATATTCACAGATATTTAAAGTTCATAAAAAAGCAAAATTCTTTTATTCGAGAAATTTAATTGAAATTTTCCATTGACCCATAAGCTTTTATTCCAAATAAAATTTAATACGAAATGCTGGAAAAAAGACTTTCTCTTGTATCATGGCAATATCAATTAGTTCAACTGAATATTTTCACAATTTTACCTTCGATAAAATTTACGGAAAAGTTGTATCCATCCTTATCACGCTTTGAATAGTCAATGGAGTCGATTTTATTTCATTATGTAGATAGATTCACGTAGCAGTTTGCAGTGAGCGAACCCGAGACAGTTTGAAAGCAGATGCATAAAAAAATATTCAATTATCTCTTTCACCCACATTGGTGTTTATTTATTTCAAATGGAAGCAAAGTGAACAGCAGTCAGGATGTAAAATTGAAATTCTATTAAAAAAACTTTTCGAGTTTAACGAGATGGAGAAAAAAAATGTGATGATAAAGAATCGGCTTCCGTTTTCACGAATGTTTCTTTTTTCTCGACCAACTGTCAGCAAATATTCGCTTATCATTACAATAATTAATTTCACTTCATTGATATTTATTTTCCGTGTTGATAAATTTCAAAAAAATGAATATTGAAAGAGATAATTTTTCAGGAGTCATCAGTATCAGACCAACAGCTTTAATCACACAGTTAAACATTCATGAGATTGTAAGAGTTGGAAGAGAATAAAAAAGTTTAACCCAAAAACCTCACGGAGGGATAAACCACATTTTATCTGTAAAGGACATTTCAGTGGCTTTCCTCCCTTCTCTCATGGCCTAGAGTTTTATTTATTAAGTTTCCTTCGGTTTTTTCCAAATTAAATATTCACTAATCCCCATTTTTGTGTATTTAGAAAATAGAACATCTTCAGTACCTTGTCTCAACTATAAATTTCTCTTAAAACATTTCTTGTTGCTTAACTTCGCTCCACTACACTCGTGAATAAATGATGAAATTGTTTTTCTCCCAAAAGTAAACTTGCCAGGAATGCTTACTGAATTGAAATTTGAATTATAAATTAAAGTTAAGAAAGGTAAATTTCAACCAAACTTTTCATATGCATTTTGAATGGTTTAACCATCTAACCAACAAGGCATTTCATACAAGGACAAATATTTGTAATGTATTTGCTTGATATGAAATATTGATTACAACCTGGCTGTGAAAATTCGTCAGAAATCATTTTAAATCTTCAGATTGAATGGAAGAATTTAATTGTTAAATCATTACATGATTAAAGATAATCAACAGCATAAAAGCTTTTCAGGAATTATGAAATGAGTGTTGCCAATACACAATCTTTTGTTATTATAGATTATGCGAAGAAAGGTTCTAATGAAATTCCTTTTTCTACTTTCATTTCCAGTGGAAAGCCATGTGCGCTTTGTTAGTGAAAACGCCATCCTTGTCTCACGCTCAAAGCTTCCTACACTGTCAAAAAGTTTTTAGTTCATACAAATGTTAACTTTTGAGTCTTCCAGGAAGGAATATTCTTAAATAAATCAAGCGAAAATGGGGAAAACCTCTCTTTTATTTAGTTTTTGTAGTCTTAATTAATTTATAAGTAAACAAGGTTTAGGTTCATGAAATTATTTCACTATTCAAATTATTATTCTTTTGTTCATAATTTCTAAGAATTTTCTTATTCTAAATAGAACGAATTTGTTTTTCTATTTCCAGTTTTGATGTTCTTTTTGTTTGCTTATTTAGTCTCAGTTTGTGTGCCTTTGTGAAGAGTTGACGAGAATGAAAACATGTTTACGAAGGATACTCTTAAATGGACTTACGCTTAAAGTATAAATTAATTTTGTAAATGAGTTTTGTTGTGAAACATTTTTTGTTTTTCTTTATGTCTCAACATGGAACTCAATGGAAAGCTCAATAACATTGTTTTTGGCAAAGTGAGTAGTGTAACGACCTTGAGTCATTTTCTTCTCCCCTATGACTGTTTAGTGCAGATATTTTGATCAACAATGTTTCCACAATGAAATTTGTTGTAGTTTTGAAAGGTCAAGTAGACTGGAAAATTGTTTAAAATATTTTAACAAAAGGAAATGAAAATATGCAAAGCTTTCAGTCGTTCATTTGCTTTATAAACATAAAAGTTTCATAACGTTTATCTAGTGGTAACATCAAAGTGAAATATTTTGTGAAATAATTTGGTATGAGTTCGGAATTTGTGAAAATTTGAAATGAATTTCTTGCACTTAAAACGTGAATTATGGGACGAGTGCTTTGTTCACTAATCGTGCCTGCAATCTTGCTCGTAATCTTTGATTATGTTGAAGTCTAATACCATGAATTTTTGGCACGATAAAAGTCTACATAAGAATTGAATTTCTCGTAAAGTCTCATTCATTAGTAAAGCAAAGTATTATAATGAATTCCTTATTACATTTTATTATTCTTTGTTGCTTCAACTCAGCTCTATTTGAAGTTATTCGGTAGCTATCGAAAATGAATTTCTTTAAGAATATTCTTCAAGTTATGACAAATAACTGAAAGTTTCCATTAAATATGTTTACACTCTGCATGCAGAAACCACAAAAGCTTTTTAAAATTCATATGAATGAATGGAATTATTTTATGTTTACTTGTTGCACTGAACTCCTTGTTTATAAAGAGCTTCATTTGTGTTTTATGCTTACTCATAAACATTTATAGAACAACTTATTTACACTTTAGAATTCAAAGTGGATTCAAGGGTAGAGTATAAAGAAATGCTGATGAAAAGATTGCAACTCGTCGTCAGAAAATGTAGACATTGAGTCCATTCATCCCGTTTTTCATCTTCTCCCATGTCATTCTTTAGATCGATAACACATGCTAAAGCAAAGTGAGAAAGTAAGCGTCGACATAAACAGAGAGCGTGTTTATTTATACAGAAAACTTTAGATTGCATGCTATTCACACACACAATAAACTTGAATTAGATTTTCATTCATTTTGTGGGAAAATTTTCATTTAAATTAGCTCTCTTACTTGTCAAATCTTCAATCATTTGTCAAGTCATGACCATTTGAGAAAATACCTTAAATTATAATAAAATATATAACGACGAAGACGATCATGACAACGAAGACGAAGTGAAATGTTGTGTATCATTTTAATTTCAATTTGATTCGCTTTTGATCTCAGTGAAGGCGAGAAATGATTTCGTTTAGGGGTTTGCTTAATACGAAGCATCGGATAACGAACTTTAGTTTCATTCGCGTGAGACTTTCACTGTTGTGTGGACATGGATTCAGTTTATATTTAGGCAGACTTTCATTAGTAGTTGTGATTATTCCCGAAACAACGAAGATAATTTTCGCAGCGTGTATTTATGTGAAATTATTTTTGTATTTAAATAATTTTCATCAATTCGGGTTTTTTAGTTTTCTTCAAAAAAACAACAACGAAGCTTAAGCATTTCAGTATTGCATAAAGTGCAGTCGTGGACGTTTATCTTGTCTGGTTCTCAGTTTCGTTTTTCGTTGAGTCATTGAATATTGAAATTGAAACTAAAAACGAGTTTCGTTCGATATTTAATCGCGTTTCTTTATCAATGAGCTTGTTTACTGCAAAATAATCGCTGATGATATTTTATTTTTCGTTGAAAAGCCGGCATGGCAACGGTGTGAATAATTTATTTGTTCGGTTAGTGACTTTGTTTTGATTCTTATTAAAAATCACGGTTTCGGGGGTGGATGGAATTTTTTTTCCGGCAATGATGTTCTGCTTTTACTCACAACAAATAATTCACATTTCATTCAACCGCCCCCGCATGAATCGGCAAAGCAAGTAATACATGTAGAAAAGCAAAATAAATAAATACAAACTAGAATGGAAGTTCGATACGCAGCGTTGCATAAAATATTTCAAAGCAAAGTGTAATGGTGAAATATCAACAGAAAATTAATTTGTCTACATTGATTGAGTTAAACTCATATTCTGTGCCAAGTTGAGTTGGTCGTGATAAGCTCCATTTGTGATTTTTTTATTACCAACCCTTGCTAGATAAAATTGCGAGTTGCTTTTAAACTGAATTTGTTCCACATTGTGGTTACTCGACTCTCATTCTACCACAACGTTTAAGGGCTTAATTGAGTTTCTTTCAGTTAATGGAGTTTGGTTGATGGGAAAATATTTACATGCAGACGATAAGTTCATTAACTTTTTTTATTCAATGTTAAATTAATTTTTTGTTGCATTTTCTCGGATGTCTGGAAAATTTCTCATTAAATATTAAACAAAGAGTTATTGAGTGAAATAACGTTGAAAATTTACTTTAATAAGCAAGCAAATGAGGATGAAAAATCGAAACAGGGAAATAAATAAATTAGTGCGACATCTCCTACGCACCAGATGATTATCTTCGTCATTTATGTCGTGTTACTTCTCTACACTTTCACACCATTGTTTTGCCTGTCAACCTTTGTGTTTGAAGTGTAAGAATTTTCAAGTTTTCAAACACGTGTGTAAAAATTGAGAATTTTGTGTAACGACAAAGATGCTCAGAAGAGGTTGAAGACATTAAGAAAGAACTTAACAAGGAAAAGAATTTCATGTAAATCAATTTATATTGATATGTTGTCAATAACAATAAAGTCTCTCGATATGATTTCTGAGCATTAATTATTGACTGAAATATTTTTAAAACAGACTCTGATGTTTACAAGCCGGACGGGAAATGAATTAAGTCAAGGTTGTTTTAAAGAGTCTTGACCTACATGATAATGACGGTATTATCCAAAAATAGCGGCTCAAAACCAACAAATACGCCGTTGCATTTGTCATTTTAAAATGGCACAATTTGCAGATGTCTCATTCGTTCATTAACATAGCAAAAGTTGATTCGAAAATAGACTTCAATGTGAACCTTCAATCATTTTTATATTTTATTAATTAAATTTATAAAAATTAAAATGCTAACTAAGCTAAAACTTGATTCGTACAGACATGAGAGAAGTTGATTGGAATATTTTGTAAATTAAAATGTAAATATTGAGACATTTTGCTTCATACTTATCAAGACTTGAACGATTGATTTTAAGCTTCGGCCTGGTTTTGTGATATTCTGTGACATTCACAAAGGTTGCGCTCAAGCTTGAAAATCATTTTTTGCAAAAAATAATGAAATGAAATTCACAATATTTACGGATTTTTATAAATAATTTCACGCACACTTAAAGCAACCTGCGTGCCGAAGTTTTCAAATGAATAAAAACGCGTTACTGATCGTTGTAAACAAAAGCAAACAGCTGTTTTTTCTTTATCAAGTTTAATATCTCGTCTTCTCTTTCATTTTCTTTCTTTCCGTCTCTTTTTCTTGTTTCTTTGTGTGAAAATTTCAGAGCAAATTTCAGAGGATGACTTCACTTTATGGACCTTTTTCCCTCTCTCGGCAAATATCACAAGAAGAAAAAAAGAAGCACGAGAGAAATTAATGAGAAATGCTCGAATATTTATGCTCGCAAATATATGTTTATGAAGTGGAACTGATCAACATCAAGAAAGGAAAGGAAAATATTATAAAGCTCTCCCTTATCAGCAGAGACTTACAACATAGTTTGGTTGACGATTGTATAAAAGAGCTAAGGAGAATAAAAATGTATTAGTGTATGCAGTGTGCCTAAGAGACTTCGACTGTTCGTTCTTTCATTGATATACATTTACTACACATTTAAATTCTTATTCAGTTGTAATTAGGAGTTACAAAGTGTCGCACCATTTGCTTATTTTTTTACTTTGTTTTCGCGGGAATATTTTTCTGTTCTTGTGAAATGATTTAAGCGACATTTGAAGTCGAAATAAAACAGAAGAAAGAAATAAATTTTTAGTGATTATGTGACAATCGAGGAAATAAAATTAAAATAATCGTTACAAGAAGTACTTAAAAGTGGGTCAGAACCACACGACTATGAAGTTAACAAAACGATAGAAGCGAAATAAACTTTTTTTTTACCTAATTTTGATTTATTTTTGTGTTATTTTGGTGTCTTTGATTGATTACTTTTATTTAAATTTACAAATTAGTTTAATTTTAATTTCGAAAAATCTCGCGACCAAATTAAAACATTGAGTGAGCTCCATTTAAAACAATTAATAATAATAATTGGAAGAAATACGACGAGATGACGCACGCACCAACAAGCAAACGTCAAGAACAGAATGGAGAAGAATCACCACCTCGTCCTCAACATCCCGACATCGATGGCGGTTGGGGTTGGTGGGTGGTTTTTGCAAGCTTCATGATCCACATTGTCAGTGAGTAATCGTCCCTTCTTACTTCTTACTTTTACATAAAATTAAAAATATTCTATAAAAAGTTTGCTTCTTATCGCACTCTTCACTAACTTATCGCTTATCTCGTTAATGTTCATGTCAAATGACGAAAGAAAAACTGGAATTTCATGTGCCAACTCCGCACATGTTCAACTTGATTACGTCAATTTTTCGTATAAAATTTTTACCGTGAATCGCAAAAGTTTCCGGCATACGACTTCAAAACTCCATCACGTGAAAATCACGCCACAAAAGCATTTCAGAATTCTCACATTTCTCGCGATGCTTTATTTCATTGCGGAATGTTGTGTGAGAGTCAAAACGAGGCTTTTTCCTTGCCGATTTTAATATCTACGAAAACATTTTCGTTCGTGAAATGAGAGCAATAACTTTGTTCAAGATGTTCGTTTGTGTGGGTGGATTTAAGAGAATTTCATTCACCTGATGACTCTTAAAATGGCCCCAAAATTAATATCTATATTGATAAAGCGAAAGATTGCCAAATGTCACTCTCAATTCCATACAACCACAAACATTCCATTCTTACCACCAACGAAAATGTCGTTGACTCATTGTCTTTTACTTTTTATTTAAAATCAAATCATTTTCATAGTAGAAATAACAAAATTGTTAAATCGAAACTTCTCTTTCGATATGTCAAAATCCTGATTGAATTGTTTAATTTTCATTCTCAACAATAATGATTGAATCAATACGACTCACGCCCACTTGAATTCGTATTGATAACAGTTACCGACATTGTTATCAGCTGAGTTGTAGGTCACTGAACAAAGTTCAAGAACGAAAGTAATCTTAATGAGAAGTTTAAATCCTATGATTTGTTGTTGCTTCTCAAGCAAAACAAATAAAATGTCAAACATTTGCAAGGCAATAAAACAAGCAACACTTGAAGTACTTCAAAGATGTTTAAGTTTGACGAATGAATTTTATGTTTCATGACGTCATTTCATTTCTTTGAAGATTCAAAAATGTCTTCCACATGGTGATCACAGACAAATATTACTTTGTCATTACCATAAATGATCTCAACCATGAAATCTTTCTTGTTAGTAGTCAATGGTGGTTGCTTAAATCTGTTGCTAACCTTCTCAAATAATGATGAACTACAATATTGATGATTAGAGATATCATGCAGTGCAAACAATGATAACAAAAAAGCTTTGCAAACATTCAATTAATTCTTTCCCTTCTGTGTTGTTCATTGTTGAGTATGAATAAAGGCGCCTCCAGTTATTTATGCTGAATATGAGTAATTTATTTTTCTGCGATAAGATGTTTCTATACATAGACATAAATAAATGTTGTGTACATATATGAAGATTCTAATTTGACTCATCTTATGTTTTATTTATTTAATATGTCGAGTATTTCAAATTGTCGTCGAGTATTTCATGTCGATTGCTTTATCACTCACAGTCACAATACAAATCATGCAGAAAACTGTTAATTGAAATTCCGATCTAAGATTAGAAGTTTCATGTTTGTTCAACAGCGGCGACTTTAATTGCTTACTAAACCTTATGGCGGAATTAACGACTTATTTTGAGAATGTAGCGATAGCAATAGAAACGAAAACAATATTGATAATTGTTGCTAATAGATTTCATTCAGATTATGAGAATGATTTATTGGACATTGCCATTGTGTTGCAACTTGTTAATTATTTTATTACCTATTATGAAAAGTTTTACTCAATCTTACTTTTACTAAGAATATTTGAGACCTAAAAATATAAATGAAAGAAAAAAACTTTGATTTTGAAACCTTCTTATGAATGAGAAGATTGTTTATCTTGCTGTTCAAGTGTCGTTGACGTTATCTGATGATAATGAAGTGTCTTGAAGTTTTCTGTTTGGCTTGCGTTTGTTTTTCAAAAATTTGAAGACTTAAATAATTAATTCAAAACAAAATTGTTTGTGCTATTTTGCACGTTTTGTTCACAATTTGTGAAAGTGTAAACAACTCTTACAGAAGGATGTACAAATTTAAGTTTCGTCATGACATACCCAAACTGACAACGAATCAATGTTGTGATAATAAAGAAAACACCTCACACCCCACTTTTGATATCTCAAAGGAATAAAAGAATTCTTTCAATCTCATTTTCGCTTTGCTAATGACAGTTTCAATTCAATTTCTGAAGAGATTCGTCATTGATATCATTCAATTTTCGCTTTCATTGAAACATCTACAAATATTCTGTGATTGATGATAATAAAATTCGAGTGAAGTAATTAGTGAAAGTACTGATGGAAAAAAATTAATTAATTTTATACATAAATAAAGCGTAATGTTGTATGTTGTTATGTCAATAATCACACCAACGAGCTTGAATGATTAAATTCTTTAAAGAAAATCTCTTCATTCATTTTAATTGATTGAATTGATCGTAATAATTTTCAATTGTCCCTCGTCTGCTTTGATTACAAGCTCATTGAACGCAATCTTGTTAAGGAATTTCATAATTGATTATCTTGATAGTTTATTTACTTCGGTAAATTATTTTATTACAAAACTTTGATCTTGAAGTTCTTTTTCCTGCTATTCGGAGATTTTCTTCTTGTTAGTTATTATAGTTGAAAGGAAAATTTCTCGGAAAAACCATAATTTCTGAATTTTCCTAATCAATGAAAAGTTTCAACTAACAAAAGTGCCAGGCACGAGTTGTTGCTTTTGTTTCCTTAACTTTTCATACAATGCGAACAAAATTCATAAAATTTTATGAAATATTCACCCACAGTTTAAATAACTTAAAGTGAATTAAACCTTATTAATAATTTTCAAGTTAGATTTCTAAATTATTTACAAATAACTAATAAGCAACAAGTTTCTTGAAAACCTTGAACGAATGAAGCATTCTTAAGCACTCTCAAAGCTGTTTGCTCTCCATTATTATTTAGTATTAAACTTTTCAATTTTTCCACTCAATATCAAATAACGATTCATATAAAATTGATAAAAAAAAAACGACAAGACAAGATTTTGATAATTCTTTTACTAACTTTATAATGTTTTTCTCTTTTCATTCTCCAAATTTTTAGCCGATGGCGTCACTTACACACTTGGAATATTTTATGTGGAATTTTTGGATTTTTTCAAGTCAGGAAAAGCTGAAACGTCTTGGATCGCATCGATCCTTGTAGGAGTCACATTATGTTCAGGTAATTGATTTCAAATATTATTGAAACATTTCAGATGATTGAATTTCATTCAATTGTCGTCGTATGAAGCCACAAGCAGGGCTTTGCCCCATAGACCGTATTCCTTTTTGTTCCGTTTTCTGTTCCGGAAACAGATTTGTGTTCCTTTTCTGTTCCGGAAACAGATTTGTGTTCCTTTTCTGTTCCGGAAAAGATTTGTGTTTCCGCTCTGTTTCGTGTTCGGAACATGAAAATGTCACGGAACAAAGCGCTGCTCATTACTAAAGTTTCACATTCAGTTTATTGCACTCTTTTCCCACGTATTTAAATAAATTGCAAATTCATCATTTTAAATTTTTTGTCTTGCTAATTATGCAAAAAAATATTTCTGAATCATCGCAAATTCTTTTCCTTCCATCTCAGACATTTTCTATGACAGAATAAAATTTGATTTAATTGTCAAAACTTATGCAATAAAAATTTAGAAATTTATGAAAAAATCCCAACACGTGAGTCACGTGCTTACATTATTGTGCATAGCAGATAAGTTTTTTCGCTGTGATAATGATGAAATTTCTTCTAATTTCAGGTCCAATTTCATCAGGGTTTGTAAATAAATATGGATGTCGAGCTGTGACGATAGCGGGAACTGTAATAGCAGGAGGTAATTTAATGCTCAAAATCTTATTTATCTTGACTTTTGCTTTATTGCCACTTTATCGTTACAGTTTGCCTCATTCTCAGCGTGTTTGCAAAAAATGTCTACACGTTGTATATAACCATCGGCTTTGGTACCGGTTTTGGTTTCGGAATGATTTATCTTCCTGCTATTGTTAGTGTGACGATGTATTTTGAAAAACTTCGTTCCCTTGCAACTGGAATTGCAGTCTGTGGATCAGGATTTGGAACTGTTGTGTTTGCTCCACTCACAAATTATCTGATTACAAATTACAAATGGCAAGGATCACTTTTAGTCATTTCTGGAATTGTCTTCTTCTGTGCTGTCTTTGGATACATGTTTAAGCCATTGAATCTCGATGAGAATGTGTCACAGCCATCGCCATCTGTGAGTGGAATTAATAATAATAATAACAACAATCATCTGAAGAAAACTGATGAAGATGACGTCAACAGAAGTCTGTTGGCGCCTCCAAATAACCAGCAGTTTACGAGATCACGAAGTATTGGTTTTGATATGGAAAAAATTAATCCAATGAATGGAAATATTGAGACAAGTTCAGAGGAAAAGACTCGATTATCATTAAGTTTAAGTCAACCTTTATTAACGACGGACTCAGACGATCCAAAAGCAGCTAACAATTCTTTAACTCATCGCAACTCAATGAAATCATCTGGCAGTGGATATTTAGATCGACCTGATGCTTTCTACACTGGATCATTACACAACATTTCAAAACATCGATCAACAACTTCAATTCATTCCGATGGTGATCGATACGGTTCATTGAAACGTCGTGAAAATAATCAAGAAGTTGATGAGAAACATGAGATGTGTTGCATTTCTTGTTCACCCGAAACTCATGATACTTTGAAGAAAATGATGAGCTTTTCATTATTAAAAGATCCAATTTTCATTCTCTTTGTTGTTTCAAATTTCTTGACGAGGTAAAATATTGAAAAGAAATTTTAATTCAATTTAATGATGTCGAAATGATTTCAGCATTGGTTTTAACATGCCTTACGTTTACATCGCAGCACAAGCAGAAGCTTTAGATATAACAAAGAGCAATGCAAGTTATTTAATTGCAACAATTGGTGCTGCAAATACAATTGGAAGAATTATCCTTGGATATGTGTCGGATAAGCCTTGGGTGAACAGACTTCATGTTTATAACATGTGCTTGACAGTTTGTGGCATTGCAACAGCTTTGTCTGCTTTCTGTACGGGATTTTGGGGACTTGCAATTTATTCAAGTGTCTTCGGATTTACAATTGGTGCTTATGTTGGTGAGTTTTAATTTAAATTGTCAACAACATGTCAACAATTTTATTTAATGAATGAATTCTCATTGCAGGCTTGACATCCGTCATTTTAGTAGATTTATTGGGATTAGATAACTTAACTAATGCTTTTGGCTTACTTCTACTCTTCCAAGGAATTGCTTCATTTATTGGTCCACCTATTGGAGGTTTGTTAATTTATAATGAATTAAAGTCTTTTATCTGAAATGTTTGTTTCCAGGTGCACTTTATGACTACACAGGAAAATATGAACCCGCGTTTATTCTTGCTGGTATTGCCATTGCATTCAGCGGCATTATTTTGTACTTTATTCCACCCTTGCAACGATACTTAGGCGAACGAGAAGCTGGAAGAGTTAACTTATCAGTGGTGCCATTATAAAAATTTATAACTTTCTTCTAGATAGATAAATTAAAAGACTTAAGCCTTGAATTTAACAGTTAAAAAAACCAAACAAACAACAAATGCGACTAATGTTGATAGTACTTCAAATTCTATTTTTTATTAAAAAAGAAAACGAGAGAACGAAACAAGATACTTATGGTTTAAGCATATCATAAATCATGATGACAGAGAAAAAAAGAAAGAAAAAGATTAACGAATAGATAATTTTATTGAAAATATAAAAAACAAAAAAGCACAAAAAATGGAAAAATGGTGCTCAAAACATGATGATGTAAAAATTTGATTCAATTGTGATTTCAATATCAATTTATGTTCATAAGTTTTCGTGGGCAGAAGTTACACAATAGTTAGGAAGTTTGAATTATCAAAAATATGTAAAACAGGGTTGAAAATTTATGAATTATTGGGCATAAATGAAGAAGATTTTTCTTTAAACCCTGAGAGGATGACCTAGTTTAAGTAGGATATTTTACTTCTGCCACTTTCATTAAAATAATTCTTGATTATAATAATTTAAAATTTACGATTCATTTTAATATTAGACAATTTTATGTTCCGTTTCTATAATTTAATAAAACTTTTTTCTATTTATAAATGGAAAAGCACAATCGTTTAATCATTCCATAGAATGTTTATTGAAAGTTTATTTATGATCTCAACATTATTGAGGATTCATTGAATGATATTTGCTATTCATTATTTCGTAAGCTCTTTGAGTGAATTCGTCAATTGATTCATTTTCGGATTTAAGCATCGGCGAAAGAAATTCAACATGAACAATTCCCTTTCCAAACACTTTTTTCCGATGATCCAAGAAAGGGAACTTTTGAACAACAACGGGAATAATTTTCATATGTGTTTTCTCAGATATCTTGAAAGCTCCTTTCTTGAAGGGTAGAAGTTCAGTGGAATCATTGCGAGAACCCTCGGGGAACAAAATAAAATTTCTCTGAAATGAAACTTTCAAGAAGATTTGGAAAATAGGATTTGCTAGAATCGCTCACTTTTTCGGTTTTCAAACTTATGATTTTCTCATTCATTGCATTTTTTGCAACAGTTTTATCTTTCTCGTCAAGAATGATTCCATCACAAAAGTATGCAGCAGCCCAAACATGGAGTAAAAAGGGCGAGAACTTTTTCGAAACAGGTGCAGCATTTCCAAATATCGTCAGAATGTGACTCATAACTGAAAAAGATGAAACAATTCATTGATGATCTCTCAAAAATTTACAAAATTACGAACTAATGGCATCCAAATAGCTTTGATGATTTATGATGAACAAATAGCTTTCGTTTATATTAATTTCATCAGATATTTTTGAAATAATATTCACACCAAGAAGCCTCCCAACTTTCTGCATCATCATTCCGCAAAATCTGTTGAAAAACATTTTGTTTAAATTTAATAAATGTAATGAAAAATTCATTCTGAATTAAACTTACAAAGCATTTCTACTATTTCTGAATCTTCTGGTTATTATAGCTGTGGCTATAATAATCCATAACGACAAATTAACAAAACAGAAGAAAATTGCATATTTCAAATAATAAATGATGATATTTAAAACACCCCCAAGTTTTAATTTTATTCGCAAACTTTTCAAATATTCACTTTCCACCATTTTACTCCTTAAAGTTTGAATTTTATACTAAACAAAATTTCTGTAAAAATAAAAACCTCACGAATTGAAAATTAATGGCTTCAAATAAGTTTACGTTGCTTAAAACATGTGTTTAAATAATCTACATTTAGGTAGGTAATAAATGTTTCTATACATTCTAAATGATTTCATCACAAAATAGAAAGGAATTAGAATATTTACTGGTTTTTAAAAATTCAAATCAAATTTATTTTCGAAGTTCAACATAAATCTTGACATTCCCTTCGTTTTCGAACTTAAAAACAATAGTGAATCAATGAAAATTAATACCCAATATATTGAAAAAACGCACTAAGTTATGCTTCTTGTTATAACAAAAAGAAAAAATAAAAGAATATTATTAACAAATTGATGTTTTTTCGTGTGAAATGTGAGAAATTTGAAGGAAAATATGAAAATGCTTGTATTGAAAATTTTATCAATTTATTTTAGACTGAATTGTCATTGTTTTTGGCAAGTGCATCCATTTCAGAAGGCAAATCGTTTTACAAAATAGTTTACGATAAATTAAAATCCACAAGATGGATGTTAAAAAGAAAATACGGAAAGTTGCTCCTCCTTCGTCCAGCTCATCAAGTGACTCGGACTCTTCAAGTTCAAGCTCCTCAGAAGAAGCAAGAAGAAAACAAAAACGCCGCAATATAAGAAAGCAGCAACGTGAGACAAGCAGCTCAAGTGAAGAGGAAACAGTAAAAAAGTCACATAAGCAACATTCACATAAGAAATCTTCAGCTCGTAAGCATTCGCATGCAGCGAAAATTCGAGTGAAGATGGTTCAAGGAAGTGGAAAGAAGGCTTCACGAAGTATGTCGCCAGCAACTCGTGCAGCTCATAAACAACATCTGAAAGCTAAATTAGCAGCAAAGAAAGCAAAATTGGAACAATTGGAAGAGCACGAAGGACGTTCAAGAAGAGATGTTAAGAAAGATCGCACACCAGACCATCGCATTTCTTCTCCAACAACAAGAATTCGTGTAAGTGTCCCAAATAATCGCGCTGTTAAAGAAAGAAGCCTTGTCAAAGGTTTAAAAGATTCCCCATCAAGCAATCGACGACACAGAGAACCAGCTGGAGAAAAAGAAAGAGCTGAGATCCTTGCACGATGTCAGGAACGTCAAAGAGAACGAGAAAGACTAAGAAGAATACAAGAAGAAGAAGAGCGCTACAAACACGCAATGTCTCGTTCATCTGAACGTCCACGAATTCTTCCCACATCAGAGAAACATCATCTGGCACGAAGTCGATCTCGATCACGAGGAAAAATTCCCATTCGAGAACGTTTAGATAAGGATTATGAATATCATCGATCAATATCACGTGAACATGAAGATTATCAGATAATACGTCCAATTGTGCGTGATCCAATCGTCACTTCATATGCTCGTGAACGACCAACGCTTCGAGATGAACCAGAAAGAAGTTTTGATTATCGGACCGATGACAGACGAATGGCAAGTCATGATTTTCAAAGTCATCCGTCTCGTTCATCTTTTCCTGAGGACCGTGGTGAACGACATCATCGACCATCAAATTGGGAGACAAATGAAAGAGAAATTGAACCGAGAGGAAATCGAATGTACGAAAGTCGTGAATGGGAATCAGCAGCACATTCGAAACGTATTCCTGAAGAGCCTTACAAAGATCATCGTGATCGTTCTTCATCTTCTTATAATGATCAACAACATGATAAATGGACAAAGGAAAAAGAACCAAAAGAATGGACAAGAAGTTGGAAAGATCCAACGATGAATGTTCATCATGGAACGTCGTCATCAGCTCAATCCACAATGCCACATCCAAGACGATGGCCTAGTTCAAGTCATTCGGAAGTTTGGAGACCTCGTGGTGTTCATCCAAGTTCACATAAACTTGACAATTCTTCACCATCGTCGGGTCCACCATTTAAGCCGAGATATCCTGGCCCTGGTTCGACACCACATTTTGGCTTCAAACGATTTCCGTTCAAACGTTTTCCCAATCAATACTCGAAAATTAATTATCCTTCAAAGCCAATGATACCAAACGCTCAAGCGACGTCATCGTCGTCATCGTCGATTGTAAAAATGTCAATAAAAACTTCTGACAATTCATCTGACAGTCCAATGAAGAATGAAATCGATCATTTACCTTTAACGCCAGGAAAGATTGTTGAAGCAACAGAAAGTGGAGAAATTACAACAGAACCTGAAGAAGATAAGGTCGAAGCTGACACAACCTTCAGTGGCAACATCGAAACTCAATCACAAGAAGAATGTGAAGGAAATTTAAGTGAATTCAGTGACGTTGACGATGAGATTTTAAATCGTGAAGAAGTGAGTTGGGTTTCTGTTTTAATTTAATTATTTAACAATATAAAGACGAATTTTCCTTTTCTCTCGTTATTCTCTTCTCTCTCTCTCTTTCTCTGTTGTCTGTTCTTTCTCTCTCTCTACCATGCAAAATAAAAATCTTGTTCGTTTAACAAACATCTTAAGATTGATGATGTGCCATCACGAACAATTGACGGTCGTGCATCGTCATCTCATCTTTCGCTTCGACAGCCAAGTAATGCTCATGTAAATAATCGAATTTTCAGTCCATTTTCAAGTGATTATTATTGTATTTATGGTTTATTGCCACGAAACACAGAAGATGATGAGCGACGAGTAAGAAAGAAATTCTTTTTTTATCCTTTTTGTTTTGCTGAACCATTTTTTGTAATCCAAAATTTTAATTTTCTAACATTTTTTCATTCGCATAAAAGTTTTGCTTTGTTTATTTCTTTTAATAATAATTAAAAATATTTAAAGTAGAGAGATTTGAAAACGAATTTTCCCTTCACAATTGATGTCGTTCATTGTTTTTGTTATTATTCATCAACTTCCATGCATGTGAAGCTTCTTAAAATTATTTTTTAATATTTATTTTAGTTAAGAAGTTTTAAATTTATTCTCATTTTGATTTTATCTTTAGGAACTCGCTCGTGGTGCAGTAGCAGAATTAAACACAACAAACGAAGGTCAGAATGGCGATCAGAATGCGATGAAAATTATTAGCAAAATTCATGCGAACAAAGAGTTGAAGAAGGAAATGGATTTGGATTTTGAGGAGATTTCTGATGGTGAACTTGAGGAAGAATCGCGAATCAAAGGACTTGGTGATGCACTTGGGGTTGATTGGGCGAGTTTAGCAAAAGAAACCCAACGACCGATTAAACAAGAACATGACGGGCTTATGGACTCAACCAAATCACGTTGGACATCGCATCGAATTCTTTGGGATATCGGAGTGTCAGCAAAACTTGCTGGCGAAGATTTTGCAAGAAAAGTTCTCACAGAAGCACGATATGAATTGCGAAAAGAAAAGCAAGAAAGGAAATTGAAACTCGAGCAGTTGAAGGTTGATGAAGTTAAAAGTGATTTAATGAATGGTGATGTGAAAGTTGAGGCTTCAGAATGCGATGAAGTAAAGATAAAAATAGAACCGAAAGAAGAGACAACAGATGAACATGTGAAATCAGAAATTAAGGCTGTAGACGAGTCAGAAGATGACTTTGAACTTGACGATGATGTTCTTATCCATCCACTTGCTCAAATGCAAATTCTCATGCGCAAACTTCAAAAGAAACGAAAGAATTTGATTCTCCTTTCAACTGGTAAATATGGACGCGCATTGTCAGCACGAAAAGATCTGAAAATTCGTCGTCAATTATGCAATCTGCCATCTTCCGATTTTAAAATTGACCGCAGCTGCATTGTAAACTCAGAAATAAGCAAAAATGTTGAAGGAATTTATCGCGAGGTTATTGGCGAAGTCAGTTAGAAGCATTAGAGAATGAAAACAGTTTTTAAGGCTTAGAAATTTTTAAATATATTTGTAAACATAGAAAAAGAATAAATAATAAAAACGATGATTAAAGCAATTACGATTATGATAACTGAGCGTTTTCTTTTGTTTATCTTCCTTATGGTTGCATGTTCAATTTGGTATAATTTATGACATCATGTCAACATTAATTTGTCAGATGATTGCTCGAAGTTATTTTGTTGACCACCAGGGTTTGGAATCAGAAGCAGAAATCTAATTCAAAAAAGTCGTTAACTTTTCAATCCCTGCTTTCAATTGATTTCTCAATAATTTGGTTGATTAAAACGACAAATAAAGTGATGAACAATAAAAATAATTTCTTTCGTAAATATTCCTTTATTTTCCATTCAAGAGTCTCGGCTTTTATTTGAGGTCATTATAAACTACAAAATATGAATTTAATGAAAACTTTTCTTATTTTCTTGTTCGCGTAGCATAAGTTTGTTGAATATTTTACAAACTATTCATTTTGTGTATAGATTTTCATATCAATGTTCTCCTTACACATGTCTAACATAACTTTTACTTATTTATATACTTCCTTTTTCATCATAAAGCCACTTAATATAAAATTAACATTAACTTAAAAGTATCATAGACAATTACATATTACATTGTTACTAAATAACTTCGAGAAGAGAGTGCACGGAATTAAGTATTGAATGTTGTTTTTCTTAGATATAAAATATTAATAAATCAAATTCCATTTCAACTCTGCATCTCGAAACTTACAAATATTGATGTTATGGGACTAGTTTATGCAGCTAAAGCCTCAAAGAAACTTTAAAAGATGTTCGTTTGTTCTTTTGAAATGTTTACTTTCAAAACCGGGAAGTTTTGTCAGGTAAATGTACGGAAAATAAGTAAATTTGTGGTTCAGTTTTAAGTGGATCGGAATTATCAAGTTTTGATGCATTTCCCGAATATTTAAGAATTTATTTTGTTTTTCTATTATTTCACTTTAACAATAAATTTGATTTCATCTGTCAGCGATTACTTAACATCAAAGTTCAACTACAAAAGCATTTTCTGTACTAACATTCAACTTTCATCTTCATTTTCATTCCAAACAACAAAGCATTGGGTTGATGGGGGAAAAAGTCATCAACTTGAATCCTTTTCTCTTCATTTACATATCACATTTTTTATATTTTTAATTATATAAACATTAATTTAAGATGTAGCAAGCGATTGTGTTATTGCTTTCGTAATTCTTTCACACATATTTTTGTATTTATTTTCATCATGTAAGAAAGTTTAAGAAAACATTAAACGAAGTGAATGAAAATGAAGATTTTTTTCTTATGAGATGATGAAGATTTGTTTTTTTTGTGAAATTCATGAATTCACTTACCAATTGTAGTCTTATAAGAAAAAGAAAATTAAACAGTTATTAACGGACGTGCTTCTAAGCTGACTTCCTTTTGTACCACATAAAATTTGTGTTTGTTTGTGAATACTCCCCACAAAACCGCTGCATTCTCGATGATTAGATTGATTGGAAACGTACAAACTGCGCCAATGATACAAATCATTGACTTCAATATTCCAAAACGATAAAGTGAAAATGATTTCAGCACTCCAAAGATGTACATGTAAATCGCGAGACCACCAAGAAAGGTGCAAATAAAGTCAATGAAGAATGGACATGGCAGTGGAAAAATCACAGCGAAAATGATGTTTAACGATGACAAGAACATTGTGCACCATGAATAAACGCTGATCGTAAGAAATATCTTATATTTGAATGGAATGAGCTTTGAATGAACCACAAGCAAGATGCCTTGAAGCCAACGTTTCCTTTGTTGCAGGAAGTCAAGAAGAGTAAACGGTGACTTCTCATACATTTCACCTTCAATCCAATCAAAGGAATATCCCAAACTAAAAGCTTTCATCGCAAAGAAACAATCTTCAGCAACAGAGCCATCTGGTCCATTGTCAAACGACACATCACGTTCTGCATGAAGCTAAATATAAGAAGAAATTTATTTAATTTCATTTCTCTCATTAAACTATTTTAAATCTTTCTCACCTGTGTCACGACAAAACTTCCTTTCCAACTTAAAAGTGGCTTGTGAAATACTTTGAAGATAAATCTCAACTTTCCCATGTCATCTGTTACACGAAAACTATCAGCAAGTGTCGTCATCCAATTGACAACATTTTCATTAGCATATGTGATGAGACCTTGACCAAATGGATATTTTCCATCAAGAACAAAGTTGGTAATGCCACGTACGCTGTTCTCGGTGAGAATTGTTTCTTCATCGAGATGAACAATCCAATCGTTTGGATTTAAAACATTGACATTGTCTTCTAAGCAATATTGAAGTGCTCTCGCTTTGAATAAAGCACCAGATTTTGTTTTATATTCTCTCGGAACGACAACTTCACGAATTCTCCGATGTTTTGGGATGTTAATTGGCTTATCAGTTGCCACTTCGATGAGAAAGTTTTCAAGTCCCGTGTCAAGACATGTATTCATATTTCTCATGACGTTTTTCTTCACAAGTTCAGGGTAATCGCCTCTGGTAACGACACGAATACAAATAAAAGGCGCAAGCAATGGACTTCCTTTTAACACGACTTTATCAGGAAAGGCATTGAAGACGATGAGTCCTAAAAAGTTTGCCATCATTTGAGGCATTGAAAAGGCTGCCAAATAACGAAGTGCGTAGAGAAAGATTGTGAAAAATGTTCCATATTCAGCCCATGGATCGATTGAAACGTAATTCTCGTCGGTATATTTAAACGCTTCGGAACAAAACGCCACCATGATGATGAAGAATAGAAGGCAATGAAGTAAGTGTTTTGCGTTTGAGCTCAACATGATTCAGCTATTCTTTAACAAACAAATTCACTTAATTTCGTTCTTTCTCAGCTTTCTTATTTACTTTCTTTTGCAAGTAAAAAAATTTATTTTTATCGTTCGTTTGGTTGGTCAACTCAGACAAGTCAGATCCACATGTTTTTCTGTTGTTGTGGTCGTCTCTAAAATAAAAACAAAACAAGAAATTCTTTCATCATGATTGTAATTTAAATAATTCAACTAAATTTTATGCAATAAATAAAAAAAAAGAACAAAAGTTATGCCATCGCATGTTTCATTTTTAATTTTGACTGTAAATATTTAATGAGGCAAATGAAGAAAAACTTCTTTTTATTCCTGTTTATTCTCAAGACACCGACGAAGGCGAGGAAGATAAAGAAAAGAAATTTTCCAGTAGATACATTAGAAAAACTTTTTCTTAATTACTTTCAGTGTGCAATTAGTTGCGCGTTATTTACGTTTGAAATTCGTACATTAAATATTTAAAGTTTACACATGATTTTCACAGTTATTCTGTTGTGGTTCTCTAACGTAAACATGATCTAGATTTGTGCCATGAATTATTTATTATCGTCAGGCTTATTGAAAACTGTTTTTATGAAGCTCAAATTTAGCTCATTTCGGGAGCGGCCAAAACTACAAAATAAATTCCAAATACTAAATCATGAAGATAGTTAATTAAGCTCTTCTAAATTATTATCTACACACATGAGAGATCAGAACATTTAAAATGTTATTTCTCATTCACAATTGACCTGCATGACCGAATGAAGGTTACTTAATTACTAAACGTAGTTTTTAATTGATGGTCGTAGAGTTAAAATCTGAATGTTGCGTTAGATAATAAAATGATTGTCACTGAAATTATATGAAATAACATGCAACTCTCTCTGTTTTATTATCACCAACTTTATGTCAATTATTTACTCGCAAGTCTCCTAATTACTTGTAAAAACAAGAATGAAAATCATCAAAAACCTCACAAACTTCTACCTTGAATTTACTTGATGTTTGAACATCGATAACATTCAAATAAGAAGCGTACAAAGTGTGAAACTTCAACTGTTCAGATAGTAATGTTTAAAACATTGAAAAGTATTTTAATTACTCCCGCAGTTTTGCGATTTGCTTCGGAATTTTCGTGCTTCTTTTTCTTCTTTTATTATTCCACAATTCAATTGAATAATTTGCGTTATCAAGTTGCGAACATCCAAAAGCAAACGAAACTCTTATAAATATTTTCCACAATTACACCACACAACATTAACATCGACCGGCTTAAATGTATTTATATTTAGATATTTATCTGCTTTTGCATGTGTAAGTTCCGAATCGAAATAAATTTTAGTGAAACTGACAAGGAAGAGAAGAAGCCAAAAAAACAACAGCAAAGAAGAAAAAAAATCGTTAAAAATTTCAATGTCAAAGTCAATCCGCAGCCACATCGCAAAATCATGTTTAGAAGGGAAACAATGACCATTGATTGTAAACTTACATAGCTCGTTACTTAAATTAGATTTCATTTTTTATCACAAAACTATCTGCTGTTGCTCAACTGACAACTCATTTTCAACTGTGAAAATTGAGTCATACAACAAGCGATGTTCTGAAACACGAGGGCAATTTTGTAATAACATTTATTGAGCCCCATTATGTGTTTAAATTTCAATGAGAACAAACTTAATACCAATACATTTTATCAGTTCAATGACGACAGGCACAATCAATATAAATTGAGTAATGTCAGCGACAATGCTTCATCAAATCTCTTAATCTAATTAAAAACTTTCTAGATTCATGTATCAATTTACGTCATTTTTGATTAAATTTATCACAAATTTATTTCTGCTCGTGATTAGCGACAGTATAAAAAAATGTTGAAACGTCTTTCTGCACTTTGGAATTTTTTTTTCTTTACCGTATTTTCAGTGAATCAATGGATTAGTCATTATGATAACAGAAATTCAATGAAATACAACATGGCAAATACACGTAGACTTCGTTGATTAATCATAAGTTCGCATGCATTCGAATGAATAATCAGAATCTTATACAATTTGACGATTATTTCTTTAAATGAAGCCTCATGACTCACATCCACAATTATTGATAAGACTTAAGCGATAACGTCAAACTTATTTTACTTCTTAATGTGGTTTTCCCGTATTAATATTATAATTTATGAATGGAGAATCTAAGCATGAGGTTATTGACATTAAAACATGTACTTCAATGCTGTGGGCTTTTATAGAAAATTAAAATGAATATTAATCAGACAAACTTATTTAAATATCAACAAAGAGTGTAATAAAGACTTGAGCTCGAGCAATTATAAGCCTTTAGTTCATTGTTTCTACCCGGCTTCATGTTCGTCAGACTTAAAAATAAAATTAAGTTGAGCTGACTAATTATTTGCTTGAAATAGAATTTTGACTACTCAATTAAAAATTTTTTCAACAATTAAAAATCTTTCTTCAAACTTCAAAAAAACTTTTTTATCTTTCAACAGTGAAACTTTGTTCAGTCGTTTTAATTGATATCATTTCACGATATCTCTTATCGAACATATTCTTATGAATTGTAAAATTTCCGCTCATCATTATTTCTATCTCACTTACACACTTTTCTTTTCACTTTATTTGCCGTTTTCTTCCTAAAATCCACGTTTTTGGCACATTAATTTATGCTCTTTACTTATCGTGCCGTTTCGTTTACAAGTCTTGTCAATTTTAAGCTTCCATTTTACTTGCTTTATTTAACTGAATTAAATAAAATGATAACCATTGGGTTGGCCTTTTTTACTTGCGAAAATTTCGATTTCGAAAAATGTGCGTTCACTGGTGGAAGTTTTTTCACATGTTTGAAAAAAAGTCCGTTAAATTTTAACTTTTCTTAACCGTTGACATTTTTAATTTATCGCAACTGCATAAAGTTGATTTTCTTTAATCGGGAGTCTTTATTAATATCTAATAATTATAAGAGGATTTAAAACATTTTGAAGACGCTCAAATATTGATGGTATTTCTCATAGGAACAACCCGTTTACTTTCAACCCGCTTGCTTGCTTAGGCTTGCCTTTTTTTGTCCGTTAGCTTGCTTGCTTAGCTTGTTTTTTTTTTCTTTCGGCTTGCTTGGTCAGCTTGGCTTGTTAGATTTTTTTCGGCTTGTTTTCTCGGCTTGCCTAGGCCTCCAGAATATTTCAGCTTGCTTTTTCGGCTTGCTTTGGTGAGCTGGCTTACCTTGTCCCGTGACT